TACCAGAACGTCTTCCATAAGCTTTTCTGATAGGGAACAGCCATGGAAAGATACACGCCAGCATCGTCATCATCTGGCAAGAACTCATTGATTGGGTCTTGGCATCAATGCAATATGACAAAAGAGTTGTTATGCCTGTCTCTTCCTTCTGATTCATGTTCTCCAAACCATCCCTGTACAACATCGTCTGACTCCATTTGATGCTGGCTCACGGTCCTGCTTTCATCAACACTTTTCATCACGTTTTGAATAGCATCATTCTCAACTTGCTTGCGGTTGCTCTCCGTTTGCAGCAAGGTATCTGGTGATGGGCTGACATAATGCGTCTTAAGAGGGAGATCCTCATTGCTACTTGGATGGCTGGAACCCTCAATTTGTGATGTCGATGCTCCTCCAAAGTAATCATGGTAATTATCTGACATGGAGTCCACCTGATGGACACCACCAACATCAGAGCCAAGACGTTTTTCATGCAGAAGACTCTGCTTGTCACTGATGAATATTGGATTGTCCTTCTTCTCCCTGACACTCTGCTCAACTTTTTCAACCAGGTTATCAATTGTATCCTGTCTGATATGGCTATAGTATGGACTCAACCGGCCAAGGACTGCAAACAATTGTTGCAGTACGCTGCTACAATCATATAGCTTGGATGTTCCATAAGTTTTCCAAGCCAACGCATCATCTCTGCCTTTCTCATTGTAGAAGTGAACCTTCGTAATATCGTCAAGGTCCTCCTTAGAAACCAAAACATGATTGACCTTCTCAACAGAATCATGAGAGAAAATAATTTGGTTCCCTCTCATGGAGTTCCTGCCAGGTGTTCTATGAAAGCCTTGTCCATTTGGGAATACTTTGATTGTTGCAGAATATAGCCTATTTCTTGATACAATTAACTGCTCATGTAAGTGCAATGCTGTCAAACCTTTGAGCCTGTTGTAGTGGCCAAATTTGCAATTGAGTACTTGTAGCATTTAGTTTTTTGCAAAGCCTTGCTGCATCATGGATAAAAATGGGTATGTTCTATTGTCTCTTCTCCTACTGCATGGGCTGATACAAGTTCTGGATGCAAGTGGTATGTACAATCCTGCGGTTCAGATATATAGTGTGACACAACTTTCCATGGGTCAACAGATATTGTTCCAGTACCAGTCTTGTCCGGAATTTTCAATGCACCTGCCTGCTTTAGTTGGTTCAAATGCTGGGGTCTCCTGTGCCCTGGACATAAGAAGGAGTCTCTTCCAATGGTGACTGTGAAAATGATCGGTGAGGACAAGCTAGTTGCACCCAATTGCATCTTGACTGCCAGAATTCAGCCACACATTGCAATCATCATGTTCTACCTACCAAAGAACGATGATTGTTCGCCTCCCATCCATTATGTCTTGCAAGCTCTTCAGGATCACCCAGGGGCGTGGGAGCATTTCTGCAGAGACTGTAATGTGCACATGGTGGCTAAACTACACAACGAGAACAATCCGATGCAGCCACTGAATTGCAACAGAATGGGAGGCTTAGCAACAAGAGAATGGCCGTGCCTAGTGGGATTCCGTGCAAGACAGTGGACTGGGCAGATTCTTGAAACTTGGGTCAAAAAGGTTGCGCAGAAGCTCCAATCTGTCGCACATATCAAATGCTGCTATCCTCTTCCTTTGGAGTACGCTGGGGACATCACGCTGCCAAACATCCAAGTGCTCAGCTGTTACGTCACCGTTCAGGATATTCTGGAAGCTCTTGAACAGCGGATCTTTCCAGACATGACATTGGCAAATATC